GTGCATTACCTTTTAGATATCGAGCTACATTATTAAGCTTCCACGTTTCATCTTTATCTAAATGAGTTTTGTTAAAGTACTCAAGCCATGAATTTATATCCATATCATTCTGCGCGTCAAAGGGAATTATACTTGTTTCAGGTTCAGCGCTAGCTGCCCTTAATGAATCATCAGGATCAGAGATGTTTTCATTAGCCATTATTCTTTTAATAATACTTTCATAAATAAAACTAATAATACATTCATAAATAAAACTAACTCAAAAATAATACTCTTTAAATTTTCCCAAAACGATATTAAAACCAAAATACATCCTTTAAATACCAAAAATACCAAATTTAAAATACATTTATACCAAAATAATACTTTTTAAAATTTTCAAAATAAAAACACTATTATTAAATCAGTAATTATAATTCAATAGTAATAATATCATTTGCATCGCCAATCTTTTTACTAATTGCTTCTGTTTGACTTATTGTGACGAGAATACGAGTGATGAAATCGACAGGAAAATACACATTTTTGTGCACTCTTGATTAGATTTTTCGCAAAACACAATCAATCACCACACAAGCACAAAGCTCTCGAGAGCAACACAGAACGGCGTAGACGTAGGGAAAGATTTCCATCCTCAAAAGTAGGTCAACGGTAAGAGCACATTTGATGAACGACGAACTTTCGATGGAAACACAGATCACGCATCACAGGGGGCAGAAGGATGCTTCTCTGGACGTAAAATAATCTGCAGAATACCAGAATACATATAGGTAACAGAAGGATGATTCTCTTGAAGCAAGAACGCCTAGAGAAAAAATGTAGAAACATAGAAGTCGCACAGCGGCAAATTCATCTAAAGTGCGTAACATTTTATCCGTATAATCCTTGGGGTATCTTCTTTTTTAGATAATCCCTTTGAAGGTGGTATCCTACCGGCTTTCTGAAATGTAATTTCTCATACATTATTTGTTTTGTGCAGCCGGGGCAACAGGAATGAGACAAATTTTGGAATATAAAGTGGTAGGTTTATTTTAGCATCCATCTCACAAGCATTCTCTTCGTACCTTGAGCAGAAGCCCTACTTATACATATGTGTACGTCACGAGGCTCCTCCAATCAGCGATATTAATTGAAATCACGAGGTGACGCTATCTTCTCATCAGGAGTGTTCTTAAGTACTTTATGTAATATGACAGATTTATGAGTTTGGCGATTTGGCGGGCGCCAACAGGTTAATATATTGTATACTAAAGAAAGGATTTCGCCAAAATTTAGGAACAGGGATGCAATTTAGGTAGAGAATCGCCAACACGTTATTAAGCAATATTGTTAGAATTTAATTTAATCAATTAATTTAAAAATATCATTACATATACATATATATATATATATATGTATTAAATGTCATATGATTAGAGATAATTAATTATGAATTGAGAATCCATTTTACTGAAATAATTAAATTTTGTTTAATGTTTTTATGCCATGTAATACTCTCTTAATAATAAACACAATTTATTAACAACAAAACCACTAAGGAAAAAATCCTATTAAACAAGTAAAAAGAAAAAAAAATACTTGTTAAGTTACATATCAAATAATGAATATATTTATGAAATACACAATCCGAACGGTTGTTTGCGTGTTTTTATTGAGGCGAAAAAGATGTATAATGTTTATCAGCTTTTTTATACTTGCCACTTCATGTTCGATGGCAAGAAGCGAAAGAGACTTTAATCGTGTTTGTCCAGTCGTATTTCTTCTGTCGGCTTTAATGATTTAAATGCTTTGGAAACCATCTTTCTACTTTAGCAACAGTTAGAAGAATCATTAAAAAGGTAAGAAAACAACTATACATTTCACAGGAGTCGCTTTTCAGTAAAAGGTATTTTTTCAACATTAAGTTCCTAGATTCCTGACTGGCGATAATTTCATTAAGGTCATCTTAACACAACCGTAGTGCGTTTATAAATTGTAAAGTAAATTTTGGCGACAATATTTCGGAATAAATCTACCCTAAATTGTGGTATTTTTATACTAATTCAGTTTCAGCTTAAATTATATAAGGAAGTTCCAAAAAATCAAAAAGTCAAATCCAACTTTCATATTTGTCATGTCAATAAATCGATAATTTATTTGGGATAAAATAATGTCTAAAAATAAATAATGTCCACTCACTTTAAAATATTCTTCATCGAAATGAAATTTATAATGTGTCGAAAACTAATGAAAATGACATTTTATTTTATTTTGTCTTTTGTTAGAAATTGTGAAATTATATCCCATTCTTCGGGCATTTGGATTCCACTAAAATAAGTTAAAATGCATTTCGTAGTTTCTTTGTGTTTATGCAGAAGTTATTTAACGATTACGTAGCTACATCTAAAGATACAGGTATATGAGTTTTCTGTAATATTTTTGAAATATAATTTATTTCATTTAACTCATTATGCATAAAATATTGTAATAGTAAATTCAATTTTTCTCATTTCCTTTTTTATTTGCAGCACTTCTTCTCGTTCCTCTTTTTCATTACTTTTAAAGTGGATTTCAGCTAAAACTTTGCGAATGTCACCATAACGTAATTTTACTGCATGTAGCGATGTAATCCTACCTCACTAACTAGTAGGGTTTAGGATTTTAAGATATTTCTGAGTCGGAAGCAAAATTTGTTAACAAATCAGATCGGTTTATAACTTTTACCACAAAATAAATACACATTTTTTAATGTATCGCAAAATGGTGTAATTTCTTTACAACCTCTTACCACGTCATTGATGATGAGGTTTAAGTTGTGAGACGACCAGTGTAAACATTCTGTTATTTGGCTGAATAGTTTTTTTTTCATTTGCTGGATGAGCCATTATAAACACCGTTCGTAACATAGGCGCCGTCATCGTGGGGCTCTTGCCTTCATGTGAGACATATACATACCTTTTCCTCTTTGTAGATCTTTTTTTTATTGGCCTGAGGCGACACCTACGCAGGATATTACAGCTGAAACAGTTGCTTGTACATTTTTTACACATTGAATCGCAAGATTAGGAGACTCGGAAATTATAACTACGGACTAAAGATAGCAATCTAAGTATCATTTAGTCTCCTTACTTAACAAAGTTTTAGGAATTCGCTTTTCAAATTCCCTTGTCTCCCAGCTAGCAACAGAGGGGTTGAACAATTTCAACGGGCGTTTAAGTGTCATCATAACACCCGCTGAACAGAAACTTTACTATCTGTTCTTCTTGGCTTCCGCTCAGCATCCAGAGAGGACCTTGATGGTACATGTCCTGAGATGCTCTATAGAAAAACTTTCGTCCGCAAAGCCTGGTACTCTGAGAACATTCAACATGAATTTTGTAGAGAAATCAGAACAAAGAAAGCTGCTAATGAAATAGTGATAAGATTAGTTTTTTAGGTTTAGGTTTTGCAGTTTTTTTATTATTTATTTTGTCATTTATTTATTCTCTATTTATTCTCCGTATTTACCCCTTTTGCTATAAATTTTTTCGCTTGAAACCAGGAGGGGAAAATTATGTGGAGTGTACTATTTATGAAATGACGGCTTAAATTATAACACAGCACATTAAAAAGCATACATAGGTAATATTATTATATTACGTATTTCAAAGGACTTCTCAATTTCAACAATATTCTTTTTACTTAGCCCAAATACTTTCCCATCTGCCCATATGTTTTACATTTTTACTATAAATCAGAAGATTCTAAGTTATATGTTGGATAAAACTGGGAGGGAGATATGCGAGTAAGTGCGGTATATTTTAGAGAGACCTACTTATCATCATTATTACTTTAAATTCTTTGTTTAATTGGTACGATAGCAGACGAAAGCCATTTTATTCGAAGAAGTGATGGATGTGGCAACAAACTTTCTATTATGACAGAACGAAAATATAAATAAATAAAGAGAGAGTATAAAATATGTGAACGGAACAACTCTCCACCATAAAAAGTTTCATGGCTATTAGGAAAGCCTAAAAGTTCATTTGCAAAGTACGATAATGATCTCTTTTCGTACAAGTTACAACTTTATCAGCTACTCAAGGATAAAGACAAAGAGGTTAGGTGAAGTAATGAAATATTAGGTTAAGATGGACATAAAAATGGAAATATACTATAGAAAGTATCTGGTTTAGCGACAAGGCTCACTTTCACCTGAAGATTTATGTAACGAACAGAACTGGGAGCACTGACGACTGAGAGTCCACATTTTGGGCAATATCCTAGAAACGAATAGCTGGTCTATTATTCATAGAAAGCATTACTAACAATCAGCAAAATTATTGCCACTTCTTGTTGCAATATTTAATGCACAAAGGCTGTTATCATAACATGATCCCCTACTATTAATTAATGTAGGATTGAGTTTGTCTTCAGAGAATTAGAAACATTTTCCACCTTGACTAGAAATAACATCCAATGAAGGAATAAGTTCCTTAAATGCAGAGAAAAATTATTGGAAATAGGATCCGATGAAACAAAGCCTAAATCCTTGAAAACTATTATCTGTGAGGATTTAATTATGAGAGCTCTTACATGAATATGCCTAATTGACTTGAGAAATTAAAATCAGAAATTATTTGATAATTAATGATATAAATTCCGGTGGACTATGTTACATAATTAAATGATTAAAGCTGATTTGTTTTAATTATCTTTCGCAGTTCTGAAATCGTATCTTATTTATACCGTGTTATTTGAGCTACCTCGAATCTGTCCTTTTTTAACATAGGTATCTTAACAACCCTTTCATCACAATATTGATTACTTTTACCTATCACTAAGTATGGTTTTATAAAATCTGTAGCTTATAGCTAAATTGATAATACACTTGAAAGAAAATGGCCATGTGAATTCGCAGTAGAAAAGTAATTCAATTTAAAAATCAGTATAGCATGTTCAAATGACATAAAATGATGAGGAGCCATTGGTAACTATTATATGTTAATATTTGCAGTATTAAAAGAAAAATGTTTACATACCTCGGAAGTTATATCATTAAATTTGTAGTACTTATCCTCCTTGAAAAAATATGTGACATTGTTTTCCCACTGAAATGCTGCATCCAGATTATTAGGCAAGCCACGCCAGTTACTGATTGGTTGTGGAAATATGTTACTTACTGGTGGGTCATCGTTACTGTCATAACGCCAATATTGATCTCCTAAGTTCAGAAATAAAATTTTAATGTGCTAGGTATGTAAATAAAGAGATATTTGTATCATAATAAATTTATCTGAAAGCATTATTATGATTATTATACTTATTTGTAAGAACATTTTAACTTGAAACAAAATGGTAGTTAATTATTTTATTATGGTGATTACGTTTCTGTAGCATTTTGTATTTACTTCTTCGTCAGAAATTAATACGGAGAAGTAATAGGAAACAAAAAGTTACATATTGCCTAAAGTTATGATAAGTAACTAGTCACGGAAACTGTTTTTTAAAATATCTTATTTGCAAAATGTGCGATTTAAGTGCCAGAATATATAAAGAAAGCTTAAATTTGTGTTACATAATTGATAAATTGTTTAATTGTAATGAAATATATTGTTTCATTAAATCACTGAAAACATAACAGATTTCATATTATGCTAAATTAATGTTTATTTTCGTAGAATTAAAATTTAATGATCAATATTAGCTATTAGAAAATAAAAAGTTGTATATTACCTTTAAAAAAGTAAGTTTTACCATTACCACTCCATACAAAAGCTGCATCCAACATGTCTGGTATGTCTTCAAATCCATCTCCTAATAGTTTAGGATAGCCACTATCCATATCTTTATTTGTAAAACGCCAAAACCTTTCTCCCTATGAAAGATGTAGTCAGATTTAATTATGTCAAGTCTCCAATAATGTAAAACAATCGTTTATTAAAATATTTAACATATTGTAAATTGATGTACATTCTGCTTTAAAACAAGCTGTTATAATAAAGACAGGATGACACCCATTTTCTTTTCTTTGGGCACTCATGATGCTGGTTTGTTTATATTCACAAAGTGAACACAAAAATTACTTCCTTTGTGCAGTATCAGTATATAAAGAGCAATATAATTATGCAAATACTGAAGTTTCACTGAATTAGGAATTGCAAATCAATAAGAAACTGGGCCTCCTGTGGCCTTGATAACAGTTGCCACACGGCCTCGTCGTGTGGCACGTGTTCACGTGTGGCTTCCGCAAAATTCAACAATTTTGCGGAAGCATTCCACAGGAATGGCTTGCCAAACACCAGCCAGAGCTGTCCATAATTCAGGAAGGTTCGCTAGTGTTGTGAGATCTGCTTTCACACCTTTCGTCAAATAGTCTCAAAGATTCTCAATAGTATTTATGTCAGGATCTCTAGGTGGCCAATTCATGACACAAAAGTCAGAGGATTGCTTATTCAACCAGGTGGTAACCAAGTGGGATCTATAAGAGGTGCAGTTATCTTGCTGGAATACTCCATTAAAGTTTGACTGATAAAACAACATAAATGGATGGAGCTGATCGTCATTCAACTTTATGTACCGGATTGCACTAGGGGAGGTTAGGAGAAGTACCAAAGATCCCAAACACTGCCAAGACGAAACCCCCTGGTCCATGAATGAGCCGCTATGGCCTTGTACATATCTAACCTGACATGAAGGATCCATAGCTTTATGAGCCTGAAGCCATAATCTCAGCCTCCCGTCGGCTTTAAATAATCGGAACTGAGACTCATCATTTCATGCTACTCGTTTCCAGCCCTCTAGGGTCCATTTTCTGTGTTCTCTTGCCCAGGCAAGCCGTGCATTGAACAATGGTTATCTCGTGGATTTACAGCTCCCGTAGCTCATACGGTGAGGCGAGCGTTGACCAGTCCGTTTACTGACTGTATGACTGGCACCTTGATTCAGCAGGTTGGTAAGACTGGCTATTAACTCTTGCGAACCTTTCGGTATATGCAGGGATTATTAGAACTACTCGATTAATTAGTTCAACCACCATACTATACTCTTCCCTGAATAGAAGATTCGCTGGCCTCGCCAGCAAATATCTTTATTTAAAACAAAATTACATATACAAAAATAATTAGAATCAACCTGATTATGATCAACAATACAATAATGATCCAACTAGGATCGTGAAATAAAACAATAACTCCAAACTTTGAATTATATTAAATAGATATACCATATACAATTTTTAACATAAACAAATCAAGAAGATTGCATTACAAATAAATTAATCAATCAATTTAAATATTTAAAGTCTTTACAATATTCTTTAACATTACTGAGATCTTAAGAACATATCTTCTTCTGTTTCAGTAATAATCTTCATTACTTCTATTATTCCATTTTTAGATTTTTCGTCCTTGAAGATTTTGACCAAATCCAATTCAAATCTCAATTTTGGTATAAACTTATACCAACTTTCCTTCAAATATTTCACAAATAAAAACATGTTCAACATCTGCATCTTTTTCTCCACATTAAGACATAATAGATTTAATGTAAAATCTATTGTAATAAGACGGAACGTGGGCATGATTTGTGAGTAATTGATTAAGATAACCATTTCCAATACATTTTTTAGTTTTACTTCTTTTAAGAACTTAAAAGTAAATCTACCTTTTGAATTACTATTCCATACGTTTGCCAAACTTGTGAAATATTAATCTTTAATAAGTTCATGTAAGTAACAAACGAAGTCGGAAGAAATACATCAATATTCTCTTTCCTAGACGCTTGCTTTGCATAAAGATCTGCCAATTCATTCCCTGAATGACCAATGTATTCACGTATCCAATGGAGATTAATTTTTCTTTTCTTAGGAGTATCCAGGAATGAATTATACGCCTTAAGTACCAAGTCAGAATAAATCCTAGAAGCAACTAAACCTTGAATAGCACTTTGGCTATCTGAATACAAATCAATATCTTCTTGAGAGTCTTTATCCTTGATCCACTCCAAGGATTTTAAAATAGCGTAAACTTCCGCCTGAAAAACTGATGAGTTATCACTCAAACGAAACTTCTGTACAATACTTAATTAACCATTTGAAAACGCTACAAAAGAACATCCAATTCTTCCTGAAATTTTTGAACCATCAGTGAAGCTTTCAATACCTTCACCAGAAGGAACATTCTTGTCCCAATCAATATTTGAATATAAAGCAGGATGTTTAACATTCTTTAAACTTAAAATCTCAACATTTACTGTATCTACAGATAAATCAAAAACAAAGTCAGAACTCCGACCATACGTTAAGTTAAAGATAATACAATCCTTTTGTGCAATCAAATAAATAGCCACTCAATATAAATAAGCTAGCATTAGAAACAGTTCGGAAGCATTTTGTAATGCTAAGCATTGCAAGTCTTTGAATTTGTACCATCATATTATTAATTCTTGCATTATTTTTATACCAAGCAGGACAAGCGTACAAAATTTTTCTCTCAATACCTCTCTTGTAAAATATCATCTTAATTTTACTACTGATACCTTTTATAGCATAAAGCTTGTTCAAAATTACAGAACACTGTGATTTAATCATTTTAAGATGAGGTAGGAAGGAGAGTTGATCGTCAATCAGCACTCCAAGATATTTAATTTGACAAACACCTTTGAGTGAATGTCCATTGAGTCTACCTCTAGGAAGTGTAATCATTTTTTCTTTCTTTGCTATGCCCATAATTGCACATTTTCTATGATCAAAGTTCAATTTAACTTTTTTGGACCATTCATTTATCAAGTTCAAAGTATGATCAATATCTTGATCTATAGTATGACGTCCACTAGCAGAGACTATCACAATTATGTCATCTGCATAGGCTTGAATCACCACATTATCTTTAAAAGGTAACTCAAATAATGAGTCACAAAGAATATTCCATAATAAAGGACCTGAATTGGATCCTTGACGACAGCCTTTACTATACTTTCTTAAAATACAGAGATTTCTTCTTGAAATGTAACTGTACGATGACACAAATAATTTACAAATAAATTAAATAAATTCAAAGGACATTTGAATCTCTTTAACTGAAAAAGGACGAAGGGCCACCATACATTATTAAAAGCACTCCTTACGTGCAATGAAACTAATGCAGTATGCACGTTCTTCACTTTTTCTTTCACTTTTTCCAATAAGTCTTGAATAGCTAGAGTAGTACTTCGACCCTCCATAAAACCATATTGAGAAGGATTCAAAGCATGACATGAGTTCAAATAATACCATAATATTTTGGTCATAAGTTTATCCAAAATTTTACCCAAAATAGACGTCCCACCAGCGGCCGAGCGGTAAAGTCGCTGAACACTGGTAGTTCGGTCCGAGGCTCGAATCCCGCGAACGGGCTGGCTGCATGGGTGTTTTCGTAGTTTTCCCCATGTGTAACATGTATACGAGCCAGTTTCCCTTAGAAAGTCTTCCACGAAGGCATCCCTCCCCTTAGGCAGATAGCCCTAGTGTGCTTTGCCATAATTAAATACACTATCCCCAAAATAGACAACAAACAGATAGGTCTATGGGAAAATGGATCATTCTCCTCTTTACCCTCTTTATTAAAGAGAATCAAAGAAGCGACTTTCCAGGCTTTTGGAAATATTCCATATTTTATATAATCTCTACACATAAATGTTGAGTCAGCTCTTAAAATTTCCTCAATTAAATCTAGACAAATACCTTTATCCATTGAATTCACTACTTCTTGAATTTCTTCAATTGTAAAATCCAAATCATTGTAATTATTTACATAATTTAAGGAACTTTGTCTTATCTCTTTTTGAAATTCCGTATCATCAAAAGCTACATCTTCTGGAAAATGATATTTAACCAGAAATTCCAAAGTTTCTTGAATGGAACTTGTTAAAGAGCCATCATCCTTTTTAAGTTGGCTCAGAGTTAAAGCTGATCTAAATTTTTCAGTGGTAACCTTATAAGGAATACCAAATGATTAATTTAAGTTAGTTTGAGAACATAAATCCTCACATGAACGATTTTTAGCAGCATTTATTTCTTTTTTATAAAGACCTCTCAGACATTTATAATTAATTGTCTTCTGAAAACTTTTTATCATTAACATTGAAGGCTCGAAGAACTTTCCTTCTTGCAAGACGTAATTTAGATCTTAAAAGATCCACGTTTTTCGACCACCATATTATCTTTCTTTTTTCTGAGCTCCAGCTCTTTTACAGCCAATTCTTTTCACACATAGAAACAATCTCTTTTGTGAAACTTTCAACAATATCTTCGAGATTTCCAACATTCACCTCTTTATTAATATACTGCTCCATTAAAATCATTTACTAAGACTATATCTCTTCTTAACATTTGACAAAAGTCTTTTCTTGTCAGTTTCAATCTCAATATAATTATGGTAACTAGAGGAAACATCCGATACAACTTCCAATCAATACAATAAGAAGAATGAGTCAAAGTCAAATCAATCCATGAGGAACCTCTAGTTCCCTCAAATGTAGGAAAAGAATCTGAATTATTCAGAATATATAAATCGTGAGTATTAATAAATTCTAAAACTAATTTTCCAGTGAAATCTTCTTGGATACCCCATACGTCGCTCTTAGCATTAAACTCTGCTCCAATTAAAATGTCGTTAGTTTTTTCTTTATTTAAAAATCATTGAAAGTTCACTCAAATGTTTTGCCAAATCGGATTTTGGAGAACAATAGGCAGAAATCAAAAGTAAATCTTTAAATCCAAAATTTACTTTCAATATAACTAAACAATTGGAAGTAAAAACTTCTATAACAGAAAGAGCGTTATCAAAAATGACAATTCCTGCTAAAGGAATTTACTTATCAGAATAATACAAACTGTAC